AATTAGGGACGGCTAGCGCAGATAGCCCTCGTGTAGCTTTGCGCGAAATTCCAAAACAAACACACAATACTTAGGAATGATAAAAACGTGAAAACTGATACACGTACTCTTTGCGAACATCCTCACAGCTTGAATTAAAAACTTTGCAAGCTATGGATAATTAATTTTAATTATTGTCTTCATAAAAATGGTAATTAGACTCACAACAATAATTTTGGTAAATATTTTTGAGTTTAAAAATATTCAAGTTATAAGTGTAATATCAACAAGTGCTCTAAATTTCATACTGATATTGGTTTTAATGGTGAAGTTATCATGCTTATAAATTGGTGACCCCCGTGAAAACTGAGTTTTGTGAAAATAGTCGTTAAAGTTTTTCTGCACTTAAATGGTAGTAAGCTTTTAGTAAATGTGTGCATTTACCACATTTAACAGTGTTTCCTCGGCGGGTAACTTTGCCCAGTTTTAAGGATCAGTACTACTTTAAAGTAAGTATGAACAAAACTTAGCTGAACAAACGAGTACAAACCTCAGATGTGACATCACATATTAAATAAAACGATGTATCATACATATGTGTTTGTGTATATAGATTTCTCTTTGTATTAGGTCGTCAATAAATTAATGTCGCTTTATTTTAGATGAAAAAATCCGAACAACAAAACATTTATTAAATGAAATAGTCTCCATTCTTATCGACGATGCTTTTCCATCTTACAATCAGGTTGTTAATGCCTTGATTAAAGAAATCACTTGGCTTTGAAGCAACATGTCGATGTCCTCTTTAACACCTTCCACATTTGCATACGTTTTCCCATTAAGATGGTGTTGCAGCGAACGAAAAAGATGGTAATCTGATGGTGCCATATCTGGAGAATATGGCGGGCGGGGGAGAACTTCCCAACTACATAATCTTGTGTTGCATCAAACGTGCCACATGTGGATTTGCATTGTCGTAGAGAAGAAGAACACCTTTCAGATTGACGAGTGAAGGGCGTTTCTGAAGAAGGGCTTGATTTAAATGTTCCAGTTGCTGACTACAAATCTCTGCATTGACAGTTCGCTGTCGATTGAGGAGTTCGAAATGAATTACTCCTTTGATGTCCCAACCAAATGCACAGCATCACTTTCTGCGGATGGAGTCCAGGTTTGGGGGTCGGAAGTGGTTTTTGTCTAGGTCTGAGCCATTGTTTTAGGCGTTTATTATTCGCATAGAGAATCCATTTTTCATCACCGGTGACGATTCTGTTCAAAAATGGTTCACGTGCATTACGCGCCAGAAGAGATGAAGCAACGTTCACACGTTGGAAACGATGATCATCGGAGAGTCCGTGAGGCACCCAAACACCTTCTTTATGGAGTTTTTCCATATTCCTTAGATGTTTACGTATTGCTTCATGAGAGACATGCAATTTCAGGCCATTTCACGAGTGTGTTGCCTTGGATTAGACTCAATAAGCGTCTTCAGAGCATCAATATCAATTCCAACATGTCGGCCCCTGCCATCACAATTTTTCAGACTAAAGTCACCTGAACGAAATTTGCTGAACAATCGTTGACACGTACAAAAGTTCAAAACATTTCCATAAACTTCTTTGATATTCTTTGTGGCTACACAGGCGTTGTTTCACTTCTTGTAGCCCCCCAGTGGCACAGCGGTGTGTCTGCGGACTTACAACGCTAGAATCCAGGTTTCGATACCCGTGGTGGGCAGAGCACAGATAGCCTATTGTGTAGCATTGTGCTTAACTACAAACAAACAAACCCTTCTTGTATTCAAACAGCATTACATGCGAATGTGTGTCTCGTCGTGTGCCATCACTATAAGGGATTAGAGTATACTAAACTTTACATATTATATAGGCTACACTAACGTGACGTTTAGGCGGTTCGTTTAACTATTATAGGTGATGTACGCTTTTTGGGTGGTGGTTAACGAAAGTGTTCCAAACGCGACATTAATTTTTGCCGACCTAATACATGTATATACATATATATATATAACAAATTACAGTTAATGTGTGTGGATTCACCTAAAAATTATAGCCTGGTGGTTAGGGGGCACTCGACTCGCAATCTGCAGCTCGCGAGTTCGAATCCCGTCATCGAACATGCTAGCCCTTTCAGCCGTGGGAGCGTTATAATGTTTGGGTCAATCCCACTTTTCGTTGGTGTTGTTGAATAGCTGTCTATCACTTCTAAATTAGAGACGGTTAAAACGCAGATAGCCCTCGAGTAGTTTTATGAGTAATTTAACAAACAAACCAAATATTATGTAGTAAATACACATGCCTTTTGAGAGACTTTTTGTGACTTGTGTAAAAAAAATTTGAGCTTTAAAAACTATTAAAACGAATTTAGAGATTATAACGAAATCACCATCATCTCATAAGTCTGTTTAAGATCTATCACCTGTATTATATGTCACCAGGTTTTCTCGTATACCCTAGCTTTTCATGCATTACTACGACAGAGTTTATGTTTCTCGATGTTAAAAAATATGCTTCACGTCTTTCAGTTCTTTCATTATGATGAGCCACTCCAATAATAAGGTGCAGATCGACTCTAGTTCTTTATATGCGTTATTAAGTATATTTCTTAGGAGGAAAATAAAGCGTAGGAGGTTTAGACACGATATAATGTTTTAATGTTGTCCCATTTTTACATGATCTATCTTTTTGAAAACTGCACCCCAGTGGTTCAGTGGTAACTTCGAAGGCTTATAACGCTAAAAATCGGGTTTCGATACTCGTAGTGAGCACAGCACGGATAGCCCAATATGTAGCTAAACAACTAAAAAGAAATAGTTTTATTTAAGTGACTCCACGACATGTGCACCTTGTGAGGATTTTAAAGTATTTACGCATGCGTTCTAATTCGTACATTTAAACAGTAACTATAATAATCAAAAGAATTAAGCTATACTGCCTTTTTGGAAGACAATAAAAAACAAGCTATAATAATAATAATAGCTATAATAATCAAAAGAATTAAGTTATACTGCCTTTTTGGAAGACAATAAAAAACAAGCTATAATAATAATAATAGCTATAATAATCAAAAGAATTAAGTTATACTGCCTTTTTGGAAGACAATAAAAAACAAGCTATAATAATAATAATAGCTATAATAATCAAAAGAATTAAGTTATACTGCCTTTTTGGAAGACAATAAAAAACAAGTAAATGTCCCAAAATTAACAAATTCTGAAATGAAAACGTCAGAAAATTAAAACTTGTTTATTGCCAGATATACAGAGTATAATATCTATATAAATATAATAGTACTGTCTGTTGTATGTAACTACTTCTATATAAATATAACAGTAGTGTATGTAACTACTTCCATATAAATATAATAGTACTGTCTGTTGTAGTTACATACAACAGACAGTACTATTATATTTATATAGAAGTAGTTACATACTACTGTTATATTTATATAGAATTAGTTACATACAACAGACAGTACTATTATATTTATATGGAAGTAGTTACATACACTACTGTTATATTTATATAGAAGTAGTTACATACAACAGACAGTACTGTTATATTTATATGGAAGTAGTTACATACACATATTTATATAGAAGTAGTTACATACAACAGACAAATAGTACTATCTGTCCATGTAACTACTTCTATAAAAATAATAGTACTGTCTGTTGTATGTAACTACTTCTATATAAATATAATAGTAGTGTATGTTGTATGTAACTACTTCTATATAACTATAATAGTACTGTCTGTTGTATGTAACTACTTCTATATAAATATAATAGTAGTGTCTGTTGTATGTAACTACTTCTATATAACTATAATAGTACTGTCTGTTGTATGTAACTACTTCTATATAAATATAATAGTACTGTTTGTTGTATGTAACTACTTCTATATAAATATAACAGTAGTGTCTGTTGTATATAACTACTTCTATATAAATATAATAGTACTGTCTGTTGTATGTAACTACTACTATATAACTATGATAGTACTGTCTGTTGTATGTCCATGTAACTACTTCGCAGGGTGTGGATGGATCTTCACCAAATTTGGAATGTAGGTTCATTGGGTCCATAGGAAGATACATATAAACTTTCAGTTTTGCGGTTTTTATGGGCGTTTTTGTTTTTTGTTTACAATTACATATAAGGGAAGCAACTTTTCATGTCCTAAGATAACCCCTTTCATTAGTCATGAATTTACATAACTTCCATCCAGGGGACGGTACTCCAGCTAGTATCCAGCAATAAACAAGTCTGAGTTTTACATAGCCGGATATTTACCAGTGACATAAGTATGCCCCCACAATTGTTGCGGAGGGAAGGCAAGCCAAAAGGGGGGCTCGAAGAATTGCCGACAAGAAGAATAAATGTAGGGGGCTCAATTACTTTTTATGCGGGGGGGGGGAGGGATCTTTTTCAGTTACGCCACTGGACTACTTCCTTTAAATATTTAAACTTGAGGAAGGTTTCGGCTATTCAAGTGATTTAGAGTCGGGAAACTGGTAAAAAAAAAAGCAAAATAAACCTCCAATGCTAAGGAAATAAAGATGAATTTTTAATTTGACATTAAACTGAATTTAAAGTTCTATTTAAAGAAGATGATTATCTTTTTATGTTAGTTAATAAATATGAAATTTTCAATCTGCCCTGACCTGCGATTTGTCCGCACGTGACCTGTGTGGCCAGGTCAGTAGATCCTTGGGATTCAGGTATGGTCATCCCTAATTTTGAATTAATGACCATAGGGGAGGCAGCCAGCCAGAAACATCCGACTCCATAAGGAATTTGCTCGGTTCTTTTAATCGAATAATGGTGTTGTCTGTCACTTTTATAACGCGCCCACAGCTGAAATTGCGGAGTTCGATTAAGCAGGCCCCTAAGTGAAGTCATCTGTCTAATGTAAACCAAGGCCGGAAAGACCTTTAAGCTATAATCTCAAAAAAATGAATGCAAAGAGAATGTGAGCAGTAAATTCTACGAACCTCGAATATATTACAATTAAAAAAACATTTTTTGTTGGATTATAAATATAGTTTGCGAAAGGAAACAAAATAAAGAAAAACATCTTAACCCTAAGAGGATAAGTTTGGCGACAGTTCTCCTGTCTAACAAACACACACACACAAACACACACAGAGTATTTGTGTTGACGCTGGTTTATCGTTTTTCGTTTCCATGGGAACATTCATCTGGGCCTGCGCTTTCTTACGTGCCCATCAACGTTTCTTGCAAAACTGACAGTAATAAAAAGCGTTAGATTTATTCTGTGAGACTGACACCACGATTGTGCTGGCAATGATGTTTCGAGAAAGTTAAGGAAGAATCTTGTAATTAAACATGCGTCGGTTTTTTGGTGGCTGTAGAATACTGCCTTCCACTAAAGTGGGTCATGATAAAATGCAGAACGAGGTAGGACAGCCGATATTACATTTTTTACATCTGTCGTTTTGAATGGATAAACTTTATCTTCTAAGACTAGATATCTAAAAATCACATGTTTAATTTCCTTCTGAGATATATTTTTAACATGTAGAATATGAGTAAGATACAAGCTAACGTAAGGAATCTAATATTAGAAGTCTGAGCTGTACGGACAATTATTTGAAATTAGGCCAAAGCACGCGATCAACGTATACTGGAGTTTACCTTCGTTCTAGCTGTAACAGATCTTTCGTACGTTTCTACATTCAGGTATGCCTGATTCAAGTATGTTACTGGCTGAAGATAATCTTTCTTCTAGCTGTAACAGGTCTTGTCATCCTTTGTGTGCATGGCTATATCGCTCCTGCATCCTAGTTGTAGCACTAGTAAAATTACATCATCTGTGTTCCATCAGTTTATTTTCTGATTGTTTCTAGCTTCCGATCAGAACAAGCTACAAAATTAGAAATAAAAATGAACCAGATAATTAAATATACTGTAATTACTTATAAAGATTGCGATATACTACTTCATTAGTAGAGAACTTCTTGCTGTTCACGACATTTTCGGCCGTAAACCTTAGCTTTACACGTTATTTTGGTTGTAGTATTTCTAAAACGCCCTTATAATCTCCCCCTTCATCTGTCTGCGGACTAAATACTCATTTATTTTGCACACGTCTTGCAGTTATTTAGGCTTAAGACTATACGTCAACTACACTTATTCTGACTTATAACTTACACTGAACATGTGATCAATTGTTTGATAGTGAACAATACTCACTACCTACACACATTGTCCCGTCACGTTGTGAGCGTCTTATATATATACCAGACAAACATATATCTAGTAAATGCTAGGGCATTCACGAAGGAACAAGATATTTCTAGAAAATAGGTGGCGTGACACTAGTCACGTGACCTCGCCGACGCAACAGTACTTACGCTGTGAAGCAGAGGATTCGTGTTTCACGCCCTCTTTTTCCCCCAAACATCTCCCCGGTGGATTAACGGTAAGTTTACGGAGATACAAAGCTAAGATCCAGAGTTCGATTCTTCGAGGCGGACGAGTGCAGATTGCCCATTCTATAGCTTTGAACTAAGAAAACAACAGGCTTCCGTAAAAAAGCACTCCGTGTGTTAGAGCCATCGGTGTGCTATAATACATACGATAACATTCCACAATTTGATCACAAAAAGAGTAACCCATGAATTGGTGGTGGGCGCTGTTGCCCAACTTCCTTTTCCCTTGTTTGTTAGTTAAAATTAAGGACAGGTATATACAGAAATACCTATGTGTAGCGTTGACCACCAAACTATTTATGAAGGAAAGAAAAGTCAGAATAGAATTTGGCCATTAAACTGTATTTATAAAGGAGAGAAAAGGCAGAATAGAATTTGGCCATTAAACTGTGTTTATAAAGGAGAGAAAAGACAGAATGAAATTTGGCCATTAAACTGTGTATATAAAGGAGAGAAAAGTCAGAATAGAATTTGGCCATTAAACTGTGTTTAAATTCTATTCTGTCTTTTCTCTCCTTTATAAACACAGTTTAATGGCCAAATTCTATTCTGCCTTTTCTCTCCTTTATGAATACACAGGTTGGTGGAAATTCTATTCTGTCTTTTCTCTCCTTTATAAACACAGTTTAATGGCCAAATTCTATTCTGCCTTTTCTCTCCTTTATGACTACCATATTGTGTTTATAAAGAAAAGATAAGGCAGAGTGGAATTTGACCAACAAAGTGTGTATATAAAGGAGAGAAAAGACAGAATAGAATTTGACTACCAAACTGTGTATATAAAGGAGAGAAAAGACAGAATAGAATTTGACCACCAAAGTGTGTTAATGAAGGAGAGAAAAGGCAGAAAGGAATTTGACAATAATGAATAATTAAATATTGTATTTGAATTAAATTATTAATTAAATCAGGGCAATGATTCTAATTTCTGCTGATAGTTTAATTGCAACCTTGGTTAATTTTTCATTGAATTCAAATACAAAATTAAAAAAATATCATTTTCATTTTTCTTTCACTTATCTTAGTTCAAAAAGAACGTAGAGTTAATAATTATGAAATAATTGGTCACTTCTTGATTTACTTCTTATATACGTTTTCACACTTGCTATTACACAGTAGCTATGAAGGTAATACACGTGTGGAATTTTCAGGTAAAACCAATTTTCTGATAAGTATCAGATAGCTCCACATCTTTTTCTCCTTCAGGATTAATCTCCGTAGATCCAAAAGATGTTGTTCTTGAAGTGAAAGACATTTTCACTTGACGATCTCCTAGCAGAAACTGGCTAAAGAAAGGGCGATTGAATTCAACAGCTAAACCCGCTTTCTTTATCCAGTGTACAATGCCACCTCGTGATGACCTTTTCTCTCTCACAGCATTGATCAGCTATTACATGTAGTCAACGTCAAACTCGGCCACTAAGGATATTATAGTTCCAATCCTTTAGAACCTGGATTCTATATATTATTGCAATCTCCTCTCTAACAAATTAAACATTATCTATTATAGAGAACAAAGAAACAAAGGAACTAGAACAAAGCAATTTTCAATGACTTTCTGGAACATAAAGCCACACAATGAGCTATCCGTGCTTTGCCCACCGCTGGTATCGAAACACGACTTACAGCAATATAAGTCCTCATTCTTTCCACTGTGCCACCAGGGGGCGATGCAGTGTGTAAAATAATATTTAATATTTTTTAAATAACAATCACTCTAGTTTAATGTTTCGAATTCTTTAGCTTACTGAATAGATTTAGGACAAACATAAAAAACACGGTCCTAAGCTGTCCGAATATCGCGATATATTATTTATTTTACAATTTACACAATTACAGCGGAAAAAGTAGTTACTAACTTTAATGATGGAGCTCAACTGTGGACTTGTAGATTATAGATTTTAAGTGTGTAGAATTATAACAGTTAATTATTTCTAATCAGGCTTGTTCTCATTGACACCCAGTGGCACAGCGGTGTGTCTGCGGACTTACAACGCTAGAAATCTGGTTTCGATACCCGTAATGGGCAGATAGCCCATTGTGTAGATTTGTGCTTAACTGTAAACAAAGAAATTATTCTAATTAATTTTGAAGTCATTTTGTAATTTGGATCCCTATAATTAGCTTACCTTTGATCAAAAGCTCTTAAGAGTAATTGCAATTTAGGTTTTGTATTGTGCTGTTGTTTTGTAATACAGATGTAATTCTGACGCACTACCTATACTTATTCAATTTTAAAACATCTTGACGTCATCATTTTACAAATTAAAAAAAAAAAGGATGGCCTTTTCGCAGGAATTGTACTACTCACACCGGTTCCTACCGGTTCTGACTGACACACTGTGGTCGAATAACTTGTGTACTTACGTGATGTTAGTTCAAACTTCAGCAAATGTCGCATAAAATTCGAAGAAAAGAAATATGGTAACAATTGTAAATATTTTTTGTGTTCTTTTTTTTAATTCTGAGAAATGCATTATATAGGTTATTTGTAGTTACGATTTTTCTGTTGTTTACTATATATTTCGGCTACTTGTTTGTTTGTTTTTTGAATTTCGCGCAAAGCTACACGAGGGGGTATCTGCGCTAGCCGTCCCTAATTTAGCAGTATAAAACTAGAGGGAAGGCAGCTAGTCATCACCACCCACCGCCAATTCTTTTACTAACGAATAGTAGGATTGACCGTAACATTATAACGCCCCCACGGCTGAAAGAGCGAGTATGTTTGGTGTGGCGGAGATTTGAACCCGCGACCCTCAGATTGCGAGTCGAGTGCCCTAACTACCTGGTCATGCCGGACAGATATTTGTTCAGTTATAGGTTTAGGTTTCTTTCCTGTTCTCTATGACAGCCTGGTTATATAGGGAGCGATTTTTTTAATTCAAACATCGTAAATATTAGCATATTTGTTAATCTTTTTCTTTTCTTTTTTTACAGCGAATCACGAAGGTAGACAATGGGCTATCTGTGCTGTGCCAATCACTGGTATCGAATCCAGGTTTTTAGCGATATAAGCTTATGTATAACATACAAAACTAACAATTACTTCACACATGCTTTAACATAAAAATCTTGCGATTTTATTTAATACAAGGGAGGCTTTTAGAAATAAAGTTTTTGATGCATGCATGGTGCAAGCGACCATTATAGAGAAAGAGAGGCGGCATATAGGATATTTTTTGCTCTACATTTGACTAGTTTTTTCACTCTGCATGAAACAATAATGATGCTAAAACACTTTTACAATACAGCAATAGGGAAGGATGCTGTGAAAACTGTATTCTATGTATTTGTTAATAACGTATAGTTGACGATGTTAAAATTGAATTATCATGTTATATCGTGTTAAACAATCTTCGTCGATGTAGTATACCGCTGGGAAAAAATTGTGGTAGAAAAATCGGTAGATGTAATAAATATTTGCAAAACAAAGTAATGCTTATGATTTAATAGCTTTAGTTTTCATAAAAAAAATAAATGAGCATATTATATATATGTATATATATATATACACATATGTAGAAGCTTAAACGGTAGCTTACTTGAGCAGCAGCTAGGAACAGAAAGCTACTTTCCATCAAGCCACCCAGTGGCACAGAGGTGTATCTGCGGACTTACAACGCTAGAAATCTGGTTTCGATACCCGTAGTGGGCAGAGCACAGATAGCCCATTGTGTAGATTTGTGCTTAACTGTAAACAAAGAAATTGTTCTAATTAATTTGGCCCAACTCGCAATCTAAAGGTCGCGGGTTCGAATCCTCGTCACACCTTTCAGCCGTGGGGGCGTTTATAATGTGACGGTCAA